TTTTCAAACTGAGTCACTCATTAGTGAATCATAAATCAATGTGAGTTGCAATCAGCATTGTGAAATGAAATAGAAAACAATAGAATAGGATGAAACAGAAAAGAAAAATAGCTGAGTGCATTGTATATCGTAGGAATAAGAATTTTGTGAAACTTGTGTTTCAGTTGTAGGTACGTGTAGCATTCTGTACCCTTGTATGACATAAAATGTATTTCATTGTGTTGGTCATGGATTAAAAACTCTGAAACCATTTTAGATGACAATACATTATTTGTGTTGTCATAATGAAAAGCATAGAATATTTAGATTAAATCATGCTTAATATACACATACCTGTGCACATACAATAGAATTTTAGTATAAAACAAGAATCTGTTTTGTTGATTTTTACTACTACCTCCATTGATAGAAGATAGCTTAAGAATTTAATAGCTGTGTCTTAGCTAAAAACATATGACAACTCATTTTTAAGGACCTTTGAAGAAATTAAGTCTTGTGTGAAGATACTCATTCCTAGATTTCAGAACTCTATTTTAGTACTAGAATATCCAAAAACTTGCTGAGTTCAATTACTGAACATTCACAGACATAAAGAAAAGTGAAAATGTCCTGTAATATTCAATTTTGTGTTTTCAATTATTTTTTTTAAAGGGTGACTGGTGGCCACATGTTAGAGCACTGGAACCCACCTCCCAACCACCTTATGACACTAAGAGCACCCAAAGGAGTGACTTCCAAAAGCCAACATGTCCATTGGTTTTGCCAGTCAAACACAGCAAGATGCAAAGGGCTTCCTGTGGAATAGGTAAGGTTAGTGGGAGAACCTCTTTTTATTATCTCAGGTTATTGCTATCAAATTAAGATGTACACATATTAGATATATGTGCTGACACCCCTTAAAAACATGACTTCTCTATAGGACTTGTAAATATATGTACAGCAAGTGCAGCATTAAAATGTGTGTTATCCCTTCCTCGTGGACAACTGGTCTCCACAAGTATTTTTCATGTAATGAAAATTGTACTGATCCTTAATAACACCAGCCTCAAAGTCAATAACTTGGTAGCATTCTGCTCATTATTGTTGCCTTTAAATTTTAATAATTACAATTATTAAATTGTAGGTGACAATGAATGGCAGTATTTCAAAAAGTATACCCTAAGGAACACAGGTACTGCTCAAAAAAAAAACAGGTGAAGTAACCAAATAAGTAAAAAAAAAATAACTTGAAAAAGTTAAACAGGCTCGGCGCCAATAGCACAGTGGTTATGGCACCAGCCACATATACCCAGGCTGGTAGGTTCCAACCTGGCCAGGGCCAGCTAAGCAACAATGACAACTGCAACAACAACAACAAAATAGCCAGGTGTTGTGGCTGGCGCCTGTAATCCCAGCTATGTGGAAGGCTGAGGCAAGAGAATTGCTTAAGTCCAAGAGTTGGAGGTTGCTGTGAGCTATGACACCACAGCACTCCTACTGAGGGTGACATAGTGAGACTCTGTCTCAAAAAGAAAAAAAAAACCGAAGAGAAAGTTAAACAGATTTTTTTGCTTTATAACTCTCAAAATTCTTATTCAAAATATAATCATGATGAATTTCCAAGAATAAGGAATGTTGTGCTTCTCCCATTTATTGATCATCGCACATAACTGGTGTCCCACAAAACATTATTTAGGAAATACTGTTACATAAATTATTAAATAAAACATTTTCAGACTTAAAATTGATTTTACCTAACAATGTCTTTATAACAAACTAAGTCACTTTTTATTCAAGTTGCATCTGTTTCTTGAGCCACATCCTAGTCGTCTCTATAAGTGCAGGATGAGTCAAAACAAAAGTACATTTATTGAGCAATCACTGTGGTCCTCACCCCATTCAAAAGCTCATAAGCCAAACTTCAAATAAGCCACTGTAACATACACCAGTTGACAACAAAGGATTACTTTTAAAGGTCAAGAGTTCCCCACTCACTGTTAGCTTTCTGGCTTTTGTGATTTGGTCAGTCTCATTAAGGATACAAAGGGCAGTTAGATGGAAGGTCAGGAAAGCAGAAAAAAGTCATATTCAGCATGATTTCTACCTCAAGGAAGGTAGTTAATAAAGAGGGCTAAACATTAGATAATCTGTAACAATGACCTCTCCTTTAGAGAGATATTAAAGCATCTGATTCAGGACAGCAGACTAAGCACAACCATCCAAATTCTCTGCCTCCCAAGCCCCTATTCTTATAAATAGTAGCAAAGCAAGTAACCCATAAAGGTCAAGAGAACGGAAGAACAAACTGGAATGTGGAAAAGAATGGAAGTCTACTGATGGATAACAGAGAACGAAGAAGCAATACCTAGAAGAAGTTGCAGCAAAGAAGAGACAGAGGCCGGCAGAACCCCAGGCTGGCTGCAGCCTCAGCAGGTGCAGCAGAAGGCAAGAATGAAAAGGGGGCACCGGAGAGTTGCCTGGAAGTCGGTCTCTTAAATAACAGCTCCAGTCGTGAGCACTCCACCATTTCCCAACATTAAGTCTCCTAGAGCCCAGGGTCTGAGCCAGATCTCAGCCACCGCATCAGTTATCTTGGTTAATCAAGCTAGTCGTCTTCCTATTCTTAATTAGGAAAGGCCAACCAAAGATTAGAATTATACCAATTAAAATAAAGGTTTGGAGTATAAAGGCAAGGCGATATCACAGAGAATAATATAAAGACAAAATAAAACCTTTGAAAATATGAGAGAAGAAAAGCAAAATGGAGGAGCAGGTTGGTAGATTCAACTCTTCTGGAGCTCCAAAAAGAGAAGAGTGAAAATGAAGACAAGACACTTATTAAAACATAGCAATTACGGAGCACATGCTATTTGCCAGATACTTCATTGAACTTTCTAAATATTAGCTCATTTAATTCTCATACCAGCTCTTACATAATTCAATAGTATACTAATACTATTAATATCGATATTCATATTCTCATTTTTCAGATAAAGTATGGTGAGGCCAAATTGTACCTTTACCCTCTAGGGTTTGTAACTGGGCTTGAGAATTAAATTGACACGAAGATCAACAGGACAAAAGCATATGAATTTATTTAAGACAAGTATTACATAGCAGGGGAGGCTTCATAAGGAAATGCAGACCCAGAGACACAGAGTTGAACATTATTATATGCTGAGTTGAACAAAGAGGAGTGAATTGTGAAAATGTGACAAGGTAAAGGAGTTTGGGTTAGGGCAAGTGGGTGGAAAGTGACTAGGAAGGTAAGGGTCAGGTTAACAAGATTGGTTTGTATAGATTTTCCTCAGTCTCAAATTCCTATGCTTGATGATAAGAATGATTCTTTCTGGGGAAGGAAGGATATCTTTCACACAGGAATTTCATCTGCTTTTAAAAAATGGAAGGAAGGTCAGAATGTTTTTCTTGCATTTGCTGTTTTTCAATATAATCAATATACTAGAGCATACATAATTTGGGGCAATGTGTTCTGAACTCTTTCAAAAGCAAGCCTGGAGTTTAAATAACTTGCCCAAGGCTATGTTATAGTGAACCCAGATAATAATTGGTATCTGAACGCAGATAGCCCAGTTGCAGTACCTGCCCACATAGCCAGTACTCTACACAGCCTCTAAAATAAGACGAAAGTTTCCCTTCTTTCTATCCCTATAAAAGGCATTGAAAGGAGTCTACCGAGAGCTTTCTACTATGAAGGGGGAAAAGATACATATCTACACATCATTATGAAATTGTGAAACAACCATCATAAAGAGAAGATTCTAAAAGTTTCCACAAAGGGGAAAAAAATAAGTTACCTGTCGACGCCACTATGTCACCAGCGCTGCACACAAGAAACAGCCGGTCCAGGAATCGAAAGTACAAGCTTGCAAGAGGTGAAGCTCCCCAGAGGTGCAGGAGAGCCTCGAGTAACCTCCGCCGTGGTTGTTTATTGAAACAATATACAACAGGTGTGGGGGCCCCATGTACAAGGACTACGTGCTTAATGGTGCTTAACGATCGCGTGCTCTTTCCAGCTGGACCCTGATGCACCACAAATATTCAAAGTCCAACACCTGCTCGCTAATGAGCGACCGATCTCATCTCATTAGAGCACTAAGTTACTTGAGGGCTTGTAGGCTGCAAAACTTTTCCAGGCCAGCCGGGAGACTGTCCTGCTCTCAGCGTTTCCCTTAAGCCCCCGGTGACTGTTCTTATAAGCAAGGTGTTCATTCCCCTACAGTTACCATCTGTGGAATAAGAATCAGTATTTGGCGGGGGAGAGCGGGGATCAATATGGAATCCAGTAGCACTAATGCCAGGGCACAGGGGAGTAACCTAGAAGCCATTCTAAAACTCTGCTCTTCCCCCCTCTACATTCAGTCCATCTGCAAATCTCGACACATGGATCTCCAGAACGTATCCCAAACCTATTCCCTTGGGATGGGACAGAACCTGTCTTCACTGTAGCCAGTGTTGTGCAGCCACGATCATCCTGCCGCCTTTCTTCCTCCCTTTACATGTTTTCCATATCATCTTCAGAAGGGTCTTTCAAAACACAAATCATGTCATTATCCTCCTCTGGGTTCTCAATAAATTGCTCCAATAAATGTCAAATTCCTCACCATGGCCTACTGGCCCCTTTTGATCTGCCAGATCTACTGCTTTTATCTTTATAATTCAGGTCAGGGAGGTAGAGATGTTCTCTGAAAGTCAAGTTTGTTTCCAAACTGCTTTATGTCTGTGTATTTGTTAGTATATTTCCATAATTTAATTATCTATTCTTGTGCATTAAAATCTGAGTATGAAAAGTTTCTATAGGGCAGCACCTGTAGCTCAGTGGGTAGGGCGCTGGCCCCATATATCGAGGGTGTGGGGTTTGAACCCTGGCCAAACTGCAACAACAAAAAAAATAGCCGGGCATTATGGCGGGCACCTGTGGTCCCAGCTACTTGGGAGGCTGAAGCAAGAGAATCGCTTAAGCCCAAGAGCTAGAGGTTGCTGTGAGCTGTGATGCCATGGCACTCTACTGAGGGCAACAAAGTGAGATTCTGTCTCTTAAAAAAAGAAAAAAGAAAAGTTTCTATAAATCATTCAAAGTTGAATGGCCAATAACTTGATAAGAGACCAATCACTAACTTTTAAAAATGCCAATGAGGTGTGGGCAAAATAACCATGAAAGAGGAGCAGGATGAATTTTTAAAATCTTGAAACGTCCTTCAAATGCATCTTTATGTTTTTATTCTATGTTAAAGAAACAGAAACTGGAAAGGGTGAGTTAGAGGTGTGGTTGTGCAGGAAACACAAAGTGGAATTTAGCCAGTGGATGCTTCTTCAAAGAAAGTGGATCGGCACTTCAATAAACATGTGGTGAATGAGCTGGTTAAAAAGGACATATGTAGGGCAGTGCCTGTGGCTCAGAGGAGTAGGGCACCAGCCCCATATGCTCCAGGAGGTGGTGGGTTCAAACCCAGCCCCGGCAAAAAACTGCAAAAAAACCCATAAGGGACATATGTTTTATGTGTATGGTATATGATTCTTGGATTTAATGGAATTTTTTGGTTAACCAACCAGTCCTTTCTGCAAAAGGAGCAGTTGCTTCTACTGAAGTTGGAGGATATGGAAGAGTGGTGAAAGATGACTCTGCAAGGTGGGCCTTGCTCTAGGTCGATCAGGCAGGGCCCTGCCATTTCACAAGGGATCCCCCCAATCAGGGTCTGTAGATCTGGTCTGTTGAGCTGGTTAATTTTCCTTAATTTTCCATGAGAGGACTCCTCCAAACCTCTGCCTGGAGTGCGGGATAGAAAAATCCCAGAGTCCCTCAGGAAA